CTATACTGAACTTAGACCTCTAGCAAAAAAAAACTGTAGCTTTAGGGCTTATAACTATACTGAACTTAGACCTCTAGCAAAAATTTATAATTGTAGCTGCTTCTTAGGGTTTATAGTAGCCAAAGATTAAAAATTATTTCTAAGTACCCCTAAGTTCAAAGAGGATTACATTCAAAAGGCAGGCTCCTCCCTTGCATGGTCTAGAGTCAGGGGTTAGGGTTTTTTTTAGGTGTAGTGGCCCCCTTTCTCCTGCACACGCAGGTCAGGAGCTAGGGGTTTAGGTTTTAGGGTTTAGGGTTTAGGATTTAGGCACAAGCTGCAGGGTTTGGGGTGTAGGGTTTAGGCACTGGGTCTCTAAACCAGCCTTTCCCCTCCTAGTCGCCCCTAACAACCGAACCCCAAAGCAGAAGCCACAAAGCCCTGAACCCTGAAACCCCCGATGCCCCCCCCCCAAGAAAAAAAAACTGCTAAATCCTAAACCCCCAGCGCTGCTGCCATGCAGCGCCCCTTATGAGACCCCAGCACAACTCGAACTCCTCGAAGCCGCCGACCGAAAAGATCCCAAGGAATTAGACGCATGGCAACACCCCAACACCAAGTGCAGCCCCTAAAAAAACGTTGTCTTCTTCAAAACCACTAGCCATCCGAGAGCCCAGCCATTTTGGCACCATGTCTCAGCACCCAGGTAAGCCTTTGGCAAGATTTGGCGGTTGCAGGAATTGAAGGGGGAGTCCCAGCACCGATCATCCTTATCAGATGTGCTACACAGCAGAGAGCCCCAGGAAGCAGGCCATTACCGCTCCACCTTCGAAATCACAGGGGCGATGTCTAAACGCTAGATAACCCTATCTTGGCTCTTTTGGCCCCAAACCCTAAACCCTAAACCCTAAACCCTAAACCCTAGACCCCAAAGTTGAACCTCTGTGCTTTTACAACCCTCCAACAATGGCGGACCTCGACTACAGCCCGAAGCTCTTGGGTCAACTCCCTGCCTTAGAGCCTGAATCCCAGTGGTTCTTTTAAGTGCTGGGTTTAGGGTTTAGGGTTTAGGGTTTAGGGTTTAGGGTTTAGGGTTTAGGGTTTAGGGTTTAGGGAGCCTGAATCCCTGTGGTTCTTTTAAGTGCTGGGTCGGCCCCTCAAAGCCTCTGAAAACTATTCGTCAACAAGATCCTCTAAAGCCCGAGAAAGGGAAATGGAACATGTTGCAAGGGCCTGCCTGGAGAACCCTTTTCCACCCGCTACAAGTCTTTGCAGAAGGTCGGAGTGCGAATCCCAACTTTAGGGTTTAGGGCTTAAGGATGCCATGGCGTGAGGCCTTTACCCGAAACCCTAAACCCTAAACCCTAAACCTTAAACCCTAAACCCTAAACCCTAAACCTTAAACCCTAAACCTTAAACCCTAAACCTCGCTTTAATGTTGAGGGTTCAGGGTTTAGGATTTCGGATTTGGACTTTTCCGGTGTTTAGGGCCAAAGGCTTACGACTTGGACCTCCCACCGCCCCGAACGTCCTAAACCCAAAATGCCACTCTGCACCTACACCCTAAAACCCCAAACCCAAAACCCTAATCCCAAAGTCCTTAAAACCCCCAGACATAAGCTTCACCCTAATCCCAAAGTCCTTAAAGCCCCACATAAGCTTCACACTAAACCCAAAACGCCAGAGCTCCTACAAGCCCCGACGACCAAACTCCTTAAGCCGCCAGACCGGGAGGGCTTTCAAGGTTTCTGCTGGCCCCTTTTCACGGTTTAGGGTTTAGGGTTTGGAGGTTTAGGGTTTAGGGGTTAGGGGTTAGGGTTTGTAGGTTTAGGGTTTAGGGGTTTGGGGTTAGGGTTTGGAGGTTTAGGGTTTAGGGCTTACGATTCAGGGAGGGTTTAAGCTTAAGGGACTAGGGTTGAGGCTTTAGGGTTTAGGCTTTCGGACCCTCACGTCAGAGCCCGAAAAAAATCGCAAGAACCCGAGTGTCCAAGGCCCACACCATTTGCTCACCCCTTGCTTGTCGGACATGCTGCCCGGTTTGTCGGGGCGAAGCCCTAAAGGGATTTAGGAGGCTCCTTGTTGGGATCGTAGGGGTAATGGGCTGGTGGAGTGTAAGGCTTAGCAGGGTCCGGAAGCCCACCCGCCTCGGGAGATCGGATTTGGGGTGCGTGATCTCTGTTGGCTTCTTAGGGCTGGGGTTTGGGGCTTAGGGCGTTTAGGGTTTCGGGTTGCTGTGATAGGTGCTTCTCCATCCTGGTGTTAGATCGGGGTTTACGTGATCCGAGCGGTTGGCTTTTCAAGCCCCGTTCACCTGCTTTCTGTGACATGCCACTACTTTGGGGCGTGACCCTGTCTGTAGAGTTCCAAAGCCTGAAACTCCGTCCGTCTAAGCCCAGATGGGGGTTTACGAAAATTAGGGTACCTTATTTTGGGGTCCTTATAATAAGGATCCAACTGTTTAGAGTACTATATTAAAGTCCCCTATTTTCGGAAACTCCCAGATGTCGGGAATAGGTTTTGCATCAGCCTACACGTAACACAACTTGCCATGAACGGCTCGAGGATGAGATCCTGAAATGTCGCGGCACATGGCACGGCATCTGCTTGTGGCACAAGACACACGGGGGATTTTGCACGTTGGTCACATAATAAGCTCGCATACGAATATACACGTGTGTATGTGTATCTATACATATATATATATATATATATATCAACATTATGGTCCCTTTTGGGGTACCCTAAATATTAGGTGCCGTATAATAATGAGGATCCAAAAAGGGACCATAATTTTGACAACCACCTATATGTGTATGTAACAAATGCGCATAGAACCCGAAGTCGCTTTCGTGCCTCTTCTAAGTTGATTTTCTTTCTCAGTGTGAGCTTTTTCCTGAGGGTGACGCACGAACTCAGGTTTAGGGTTTAGGGTTTAGGGTTTGGGGTTTAGGGTTTAGGGTTGAATTTGCTGCTTCAGGCTTCCCAAATTAAGGTTCCAGGAGGCCTTAATAGTCAGAATCGCGAAAGACCCGGAAGATCATGCAAACTATTCAGGCCTTTCTAATTATTGGGGCTCTAGGATTGGCCGCAGCTTATGGCTTCAAATCTTGCGGTTTGGGGTTTCGATCAGTTTCGGTGAGGCACTGAAGAAAGCAGCAATCCAGCGAAATCTGCTCTCTGCGGCCCTGAAGCACGAAAAACCCTACGAGCACAACCTTTCAAACCCACCAAAAAACGTAAGCCCTGAACCCCGATTCGGACGGCCTACAACCTAACTGCCCCCCTTTTTCGGGGTTAGGGTCTAGGGTGTAGGGAGCCCCCCAAATAAAGCTTAAACCGAACCGCAATAAATTGACAATCTACGGGGCCCGCATAATCAGAATACAGGGCCGGGGTTTTTTATATTCTACTTAGTTGCTTGCAAACTCCACGGGGGTACCGAAGCTCATTGGTCCCAAATTCCGACCCCTGCAGTAAGGGGGCTGGGCTTCAGGGTTCAGCGTTCGGGCTTAGGATTCCGGGCTTAAGGTTTAAGGAAAAGGGAGAACCGCTGGACAATCAAACCTTTGATGATCCGGTCCTCTTTTCTTGCACCTGCTGCAAAGTTGCATGCAAGATCTGACCCAAGACGTTCAGAAGAGGACCCCTGCAGCCGTGGCCCGCAGGAAATCCGAACTCTGCAGTGGAGAGGACGCACTTGTCTACCATCACAGCAGCTTCCTTGTACTCCTTCTGTACCTCGTACCACATTGCACGCATAAGAGGGGTGAGACCCCTGTGCCTGAGGCGCTGCTCGCAACCACATGCAGGCATCCATAGCACCAGCCGATTCGGAAAGGCAACAGTATGGACCCAGTGGACAAAGTATCGCACCTCCTCGTCCTCTCTCAGATCTGGAAGGTGGGGAGACCCTCGCGTTGAGGGCTGACGGCGCCCTCTGGTGCCCCAAGTCGTGCCCAGCTCTACCAGCACGATGGTGTCATTCAGGCCACTCATCCCAGCTTGCTTCAGGCGCGCAAGGAACAGCTGGTCCGCATCGGGCGTGTGCAGCATGGTCTTGAAACCAATCGCAAGGTTCAAGTCAGGGCTCGTGCGGAAGCCCGGGGGCCCGCATAAATCTAAGTCGATCCCTTCCAAGCCTAAACTGAACTTGGTACCCTTGCAAAGCTTGCGAGGTTAGCGGTATCTGAAGGACTATAGTCATTATAGCCGCAGCCTAATTATAGTGACCAAAACTGACACTTGTTTCCAAGTACCCCTAAGAAGCCGTCCCAGCTCCGACATTGCTTCTGCCATGCACGGTCCCTCGGTTTGCAGAGGTGCGAGGTTGCGTTTCAGGACCACGAGACCTTACAAGAAAGACCTGGTCTTTAAACTGCATCATGCTCTAACAGCTGCTGTTTTATCCTAGTATGCTACAGTATACTCGTTCGTACGTGTGTGTGTATATATATATATATGCATATATATATATATATACATACATACATACATACATACATACATACCTACATACATACATATTATATTGATATTGACTGTGTGGTAGCATTTCCTGTGCTGGGCTAGCCGCCGAAGCCTTTTCACGCTTCTCTGCATCGTTAGGTTCGGTCGTGCCGCCCTCATCCCAGCTAGGCTGAATGACAAGAGAGGCCTTTGCAAAATCTGAATTTGCATGATCCACACTGCACCTTTCTACTGGAAGTTATTTGCAAGCCGTGTTTGGGACCACGTCAAGTTTTCCCGACAAAGCCCATACAAATCCGACAATGCAGGTGCCGTAATGACCGGAATAGGGTGGCGAAACATAGTTTCTCAAAAGGCACTGTAAGAGCATGCCAGTACTTCTTATTCGGGCCTGTGTGCTAGAGCCTCGTCATAGAGTCAAACCTGTTGATGATATAAATCCTGCATTACCTTAAGGACCCTAAACTATGGGAATTATGGCATTTTCCTTATTATGGGTCATGCAGGATTTCTATCATCAACCGAACCCAACCCCAAAGACACTGAGAAAGCCCAGAAGCCCATAGAGCCTAAATAACCTACAACCCTCCGTCCGCAACCCTGAACCTGCCAAAATCCTCGCAAACACTGTCTAAACCCCAATACGAGACACCCCCCCAAATCCCAAAGTCCCAGTTCCGCAAACCCTAAATCTGCTAAGACCCTAAAACGTCACGCTCCATAAGCCCTCTACCCCTAAACTATTATATAACCCTAGAACCCCAAATCCTGTAAACCGTCAATCCGCGAGCCGACACCATCAGCAATCCCGGAAACCCCTGAACCCCGTGACCCCCAAGCCCCTATACCCCTAGTCCCCAAAATCTTGAACCCTGAACCCCAAACCATACGCCTTGCAACACTCTAGACCCCCAAAGAACAACCCTAAAACCCAGAATCCTCAACCCTAAACCCTAAACCCTGAACCCTAAACCCTAAACCCTGAACCCTAAACCCTAAACCCTAAATCCTGAACCCTAAACCCTAAACCCTAAACCCTTAAAAAGGCTGGGGCACGAGAAGCGACAGGAGCTCATGCTTCCCAGGGTCGGCGCAAACTGGGCCGGCAGGCAACTGGCGTTCTCCTGCGCCGGAGACCTCGCACTGGGTGGGTTGAGGGGTTTTGGGCCCTTTAACTAAACCCTAAACCCAAAACCCTGAGTTTAGGGGTGTTTATGTTTTTCTAGAGAGGGGTTTGTGCTCAAGATCCGAAAATCTAGGGCTCAAGGCTGCGGAGTGCTTGTTTTCTAAGATACCTCAAGGGCAGCAGATTGGTGAGCTTAAGAAAAAGCTTAAGAAATTCGGTCTACCTTCTTGAAAAAACAGGTAAGGGCTACGCAGGCCACACCCCAGTGAGCCCGAAACCCTAAACCGATAGCATTTTTGGTGGGTGCTTTGGATCGGGTTGGGGTTTTAGGCTTGGGTGGCCCTCGGTTACCTTCCCGAGCCCTAAACCCTAAACC